TTGAAAGCAAACTATTTTCGTAAATTTTATAATTTAATAGTATTACAATTAAATAAAATATTTTTTTATAATCCTATCTATATATATCCTATCTATATATAATAAATACATATAATACGCAAAGAATTTTAAATTTTCAAATTAATTCGTATGTTTGAATTAATTTCTACTTTCATAAAAAATAATATGAAATGATATTTATAAGAAATTAATAAATAATAATATAAATTTTTTCAAAAATATATCTAAATACAATCTGATATATTTAATACAATATATTTAATACAAATAATAATGTAATATTTATGTAATATTTAAAGTAAAAAGTTCAAAAAAGCTATTATTTAAATTTTTATTAGTCTTTAACTATGTAATATTAATATACTTAAAATACTAAATAGAAAAAAAAAATTGTTCATTAAAAAGATTAATTTCTCACAATAATCGATACAAATAAATCCATCAACAATTTCAGTGAAATATCATAAAATGTAATAGGAATATTTATGATGATAGTAAAAGATTAATATACATACAAAGAATTGATACAAATGTATTTAAGTAGTTATTCCCCTTATTCCATGGATATGTTTAAAAACGAATACATACCTATAGTATATATCGTTTGGCCTTTCCAACGTTTATCCGAGATGACGGCAATGAAAAGCTCTCAAGTGAACGAGCGAGCGTGCACCGTTCGAATTTCACGCAGTAAGTGAGTTGATTGGTCGAAGCTCATAGCAACTTCCAATCATGATGCCGCGTAGTCGTGACGTCAAGCACAGTATATAATAACGTCGCGCGCCATCGTTCTGGTCAGATCTCGGTTGGCTTTGAAATGAGCGAAACGAGGTAATTTTCGGAGAGTTCTGGCAGCTCGCGTGCCCTTTGGCTGTGAGAGAAGCCGGGTGGTGGTTTTTCTTCAGTTCAAAAGTAAAAAATAAATTATTGTACAGTCGTTGTTCAATCTAACGCTGTATTTCAACATCAAGAATTTTTCAAACTAGTCATCGAATGTATCGTCGTTTGTTGAGTGAATGTACGAGAACGAACAGCTGAACGCAAATTATAGTGTTTCATCGATAGTATGAGTTAAAAGGTGGGCTAAAATAAGTTGCGTAAAGCTTTGAATAAATTTTTATATTAAATTGAAGAATTAAAAGGACATTTTATAAATCAAGAATACATTTTCGTATTATAATTTTATTTGTAAATACAAAAGCTTTGTAAAATTATGCTAAAATAGAACTTGAAGAAGAAAGAGAAAAGAGAGAGTGAAAGAAGAAACCGATATATAATATACAGAAGAAAGAGAGAGAAAAATAGACTGATAAGAAGTATATTGCTCGAAAAGTTGTTGTATTTATTTTACGTAAAAACAAACATATTTTCTGGTCGTTTGACTTACGTATTTTCCTTCGGGAACAATAAAAATTCTCGATCTATTCGAGAGTTGTGACATAAACAACTTAAAAATTTGTTCACGAATTAACACGAAGCTCTTGAAGCTGTACCTGAAAGAAAAAAGAAAAATGGTTGGAAGCAATGGGACTATGATCGCAATTCGGCTTGTCCGTAGTAAGTTGCGGAAACGAGAAGATCATTCGAATGCGGTACATCCGGAAGCAGCCGTAGTTCAAACGGCAACATCGCCGGTTTCGACGATCATCGCTCCGTCTTATCCTGGCGAAGGTTGTTGCACGCAAACGTCAGTGACTACCACATCGACGGATCTGGGAAATAGCACAGCTGTTGAACAGGATAATGTCTATACCACCGCCAATCCGACAGATCAATTCGTCTGGCAGTTTCCGCCTCCTTATCCACCGCCTCACACACCGACACAGTATACGTTGTACAACGACCAGGTTGGTATATAAACCAGGTTTTTTTTTTATTTCATTTCATTTTTTTTTTCTTTCTTTCTTTCTTTTGAACTTATAATCTCGAAGAAAAACGAGGACTATACGTTTTTCCCTTCTGACTTCCTTCATATTCCTGTATGTATGTATATTAGCTGTACTAACCAGTAAAGCCAGTATTACCAGATTTTACTGGTTTATTCCCTACTTGCCAGGACTATTCGGTTATTTTAACAGCTATCAATAATATTTAACATAATAAAAGATTTTTTGTAAAATTAATTTTAATTTATTTTAAAAAATAAATTTGTTTAAATTTTAAATTTTATTAAAATTAACGAAATATTATGTAATACAATATCATTAAATAAAATAATAAGGAATGAAGTTATTGCTAATTTTGCAATTTTATTGATTTCAAAAGATATAAAAGATAATTTGAATAATGAATGATAAAACTACTGTATCATATTTTTTTCTATACTTTTTATTTCTGAATTAACCAATTTTATGTATTACAATTTTTTTTTGTTCATGATATTTAAAATATATTATATTTTATATTATATTTATATTAAAATTTCAATTAGTAAAAAGTAATATATTTTTAGTTAAAAGTTAAATTGAATTAAAGAACAAAGGATTTGAAACAAATAAAAAAATTGTAATAATTTTTAACATTTACTAAATTAAAAATTAAAAAATATTAAATTTCTATCACAATATTTATTGCTTAAGTATCAATCTTTCTATATTTGTATATTATTTTAATATTTTGAAAAAGTATATAGGTTATATACAAATGTATGTCATTACTTTTATATATTTTACATATAATTATTTATAATTTGTAACATGTAAAATAACTTTTTACGAACTATATTTTATTTTTACATATATTAATAATGTTTCAGTATGCAGCTTTTAGTGTTTGCTAATATTTAGATTCATAAAATGATGAAAGCTTGTGCAATATGTTATTTATAGATGTAGATATGATAGATAGTTTATATATAATATATTATATCAAAAAAGACATATCTGGTAACACTCCAGGATATACTTGGTAATGGTAAGGCCTTTGAAAATTGTAGTTATTAATAATAGTTGATGGCGCTATCGATTGTCCAAGGACGAGGCATACGAGTAGACGGCCTGGCAAACGAGTTGTAAGGTCGAGGCTCAGTCCGAGGCTCGTCGCCAGAAAAATCCCAAACAATCGGCAACGTTGCCACTTTTATTCTGCTTTGTTGCCGTTATGACACGTATGTTTCAGTTTCATGCTCCACTTACCGGTAAATCTCTACTGCTTTCCAGTATCTTTAATAATTTTTAAATTATTTTTATTATTATATACTATTACATATCTCATTAAAAAATCAATAAATGTTATATCTTTATTATATATTTAATTTCAAATTATATTCCAATATTAATTTTGCAATCAAAATTTATAGTTTATATGACATACATAATATTTTCTGAATTAGAAACTTTATAGTCAGATTAATCTAGCTGTTCATTATCTAAATGATACAAGTTTTCATAATTATGATGTAAGATATACTTGTATGACATAGACATCATACTTATATTCGATTAAAGTAAGCTTATCGAAAGTAAGATAAAATCGAGATTTTCCAAGTTTTATTTGCTACGTCATATAATTATAATTCTGCAAAACAGATAATCATTCGATCGATTTTTATTTGTTTACAGATTATTGAAATTGTCAATATGTAGTTCAAATAAAAATCATACTAATAATAATATTTTTGAATGTTTGATGATTTATAATTTTTATTATGATTGTTAAAGTTTACATAATGACTTAGCTCATATAATTCGCATATTTAAAGTCATTTCTTGTCTTATGTCATACCTATTAATCATAACAAAGTATTAATCAGTTAATATAATTTACATTAGTTATTTCAAAGTTACAGTTATTTCAATCAATTTCAAAATCAGTATAGCTATGAGTCTTATACAGTTATGAAAAATTACTGTATAAGAAAAAGCACTACAACATTTAAATTGAATTAATATAATTGTAATGTCATTCAGAATCTTCAATTTCATATAATATATTTTCTTAGATTATCATAGAATACTTATTCATATCTTTTTAATTTTAATTCGATTATTTTAAAATTGACATTCATATATTAAGTATTATATTTTCTATAAAACATTTTTTTTTCTTTTTTGCGCATATTTTTTTCTATTAATATCTATTAAAATTATGTTATTCGATAATCAATAATTTCGTTGAAAAACATATAGAACATTACTCGTGGCTGAACATGTTGATTTTATCGTATTATTGGCACCTATTGATCATTTACGTATATATGTATATAGCGTCGCGACGTTCAATTTTCCATCTGGCAAACCGCGAAAGCCGCTATGTTTGGTGTTTTGAACGCATAGACGCACCTAAAAACCCGCTTTTACCCCTCGAGCTGGCTCTAAATTTAGCGTAGGTGGGCGGCCACAACTGTTTGCCAAGCAACAGGATTTCGGTACAGGGTGCAGCTGTCTCGTAGACGGCAAAATAATGCGTCTCTTCTTGACGATATTGGCAATATTCCTGCAACATTTTTTTATCATGCTTTGTTGAATCGTTCGACGATTGCCGATTTTTCTCTATGCTTTACGATTCATTTCTAAATGTCGACTGATGAGAATTTCAGTTTCTTCTGTCCACATATGTGGTCATCTACCTCTGTCAAACGGTTCCGTTTGCCTCTTCGCAATGTATATAGTTTCTCTGTCTCACTCTTCAGTTCTGGACTCTGCTAGTCGGTAGTTTCGTAATATCGCACCCGGATACACGACGTATCCTGCTTTTTCAGTTGAGTCGACGCGTTCTCGACTATTTCCATGGTTCATAGATCATTCTAATCGTATTGCAGCATATTATATATACATATATAAATTGCAATATATATATATGACTTTACTTAGTTACCTATGTTATTTAACTGCAATACTGTATATTTTAAGTAAGTTGTACAATTTGAAAATCAAAAATAATGAATTTCAATACAATTGAAAGATTGAAATAGATGATTCAGATGTTACTTATATCTGTAAATATTAATTTTGATATGTAATCTTAACAATATATTAATATTAATGAAATTTATCGTATATTAGACAAAAATATTAATTATTTGTTATGCATAATTGCTATTTATATTTGTAAATTACAAGATTTGATATGTTAAAAAATATAATTTTACACAATTTCACATAACAATTATTTTATATTTCAATATTTAATTATGATAATATCTAAGAACGAAAACATATATATAGAAGAAAATAACATTGAAATTCTATTGATATTCATATATCAAAAAAATAATATAATGCTTTAATAGCTCTATATTGTAAATTCATGATTTAAATTCTTTTTAAATTGAACATTAATCTTAAGTTTTTGAAAATGCTATTTACGTTCTTATTTATATTATGTAATATTAAAATATTAATAGGATTTCAGAATATTATTTGTTATTTAAATACTATAATAATGATATTAATTGATATCTATTGGCCTATTTTATAATCATGATCTAATCATAAATTGCCTGTGTATTAAAAAAAAATACTAATAGTATTCAATGATTAAATATATTAAAATTATTAAAATGTAAATTAATTTCTGGAACAATAAATTGCTGTATAATGAGATATATAAAATTATTTTAATAATTTAATAACAATTATATTAACAATTATATTAACATTAATATTATAATAATATTATAAATAATTGGAATATTTATTTAATTGTAACATGATTTAGCAAAATATTACTAAATGAAAAACATGAAACTTTATATAATTATTACATGTATAAAATATTTTTTTCATATAACATATATATATATATGTATATATATATATATATATATTATATTATATTATATAAAATTTATGAGTTATTTTGGAGTGCTTTATTGATTAGTACATGATTCAATTAAAAATAAAATAATAAAATTGAAAGAAACAAATTTAAATTCTATTTTCTTCTAATAATTTTAAAAAGATGTCTTTATAATCATTTTTTATTTTATTCATTATATTTTACAGGATACACTTGTACACGCTCTACCGTCGGATAGGCCTGGATTTGCAAAGGGCTTCCGTAAAAATATCGGAGGACGCTGGCGTCGCTTGGTAAAAAGGAAGCCGGAGTCGGAGACTTGTGCCATTCCTCCTGAATTAAAGGATCAACTGAAAACAATTTACGTCTATTGACGATCAGCGTTAATGCGCCGTTGTCTATATTTTTATAATTCTTCCTCGGTTATCGATGATTTCCTCTATGTAAGATAGTAATTATATCAAGAAAGATGTAAATGATACGAATGACAAAGAATAAAGAAAAAAATGCGTAATGGGATAGTTCATCGAAAAAAGACAAAGGGAAGATAATATCGAATATATTTGTTCGTATAAGCAAAAATAATAAAAAATATTAAATAGTTTATATTATAGTAATTTTTAATAGAAAATTTCAAAAGAAATTTAAAAAAAATGAAATTCAATATAATTCATACTTTTTGTGAAACATATCAACAAGTGCCTAAAGATGTCTGTTTGGTCAAGTTAAAGATATATATAAAAACAAAATTATGTTCTTTTGATGATGAATATTTTTGTGAAAATATAATATCGAAGTAATTATAATTTGAATCATAATTATATAAAATATAGCAATATTTATAAAGACATATATAAGGAAACAAAAAAAAAATTATTACTATAAATTTTATTACGATTTATTGTCAAATATTTTAACGTGTCTTGAGATATTATCAATAAGAAACAAAAAAAAATTTTTAAATAGCTGTCCCACGTAATATCTAATTGCTCGGCTATGCAAAAAATTAAAAGGTTTCGATACATTGGACAATGGCGTCAAGAACTTTATGAGACTGAAACGTAAAGAGTACGACAACACGAGTTACCTCGTAGCTTTTCTTGAATATGTTCTTTCATGAATAATATAAAAAAATAATTTCAAATCACTAGTATTAACATATACCTGAAATTTTATAATCTTCAGAATTGCCAAAATTTCTCTATCTACATTTTTTTTTTTTTTTTTTTTTTTTTTGGCATTTCTGTTGTATGTGTAAATAAATGTATAAAGCAGTAAAAATATGAACTACTTTTAATTCTTATAATGGCTGATTGTTCAAGTATTTTAAATTTTAAATTTTTCTTTATAAATATTATTTAAAAAACTTAATATATTGCATAAAGAAATGAAAAAATACCATTTAAAAGTTACATTTGAAATAATTATTTCTTAGATATATTATAGAATAATTATTTCTTAATTTTTCAAAATGAAAATGATTCGTATATACTTGTGACATAGGCCAATTTAAGATTCTTAATATTATTCAACAGCTCATATTGAGCTCATATACTAATATGGTATTTTAGTTGTATTGTTGTATCAAGCAATACTTTTTTTTGAAATATACTAAAATTTAATGGATAAAAAAAATTTGTATATAGTCATTCTTCAGATTTACGTATTAATTCCGGATATAAGTTAAAAAAGATGTAAATCGAGGAATGACTGTATGACATTGTGCCACGTTTTATATTAGTGAAACTGTTTGATTCTGTGCTAAATGTATTCTTTTTGCACTTGCAATTTTATGCGTGCGTCAAAATTAATAATTTATATTTAGATGCAAATAGAAATAATATATATACATATTTAAAAGAAAAAAAAAAAGCATTAATTGTATCAACGTTTCTTTGATAGCTCGATTTTTTAATTCCTTATTGTAACTTTTTAGAATGTAAATATATTATTGCATTATTTGTTTATTATGAATGTGATGGCATAATGTTTAAATGTGAAACGAATAGATAGTTTAAGGATCAATAACGTGCCTACGATTTTTATAAAAATGAAATACTGATGCAATTGCATCCATCACCTAGTCACTTGATAATAATTGTTCAAAACTTGTATTTTAAACTTTTTGCCGCAGCTTGGATCTTTCCTCGTGAATATCTGTCTGAATACAACAATATCAAATAAAGTATTCAAAAAGATATATATTATGTATTTATTCTATATAATTCCTTAAAATTTTTTGTTCCTATTTTTTTTTATATTTAATAAATTGAAATTTTTAATTAAAAAATCATTATATACTTTATTAATTATAAAAGTATAATTAAAAAAATTAATAAGAAATATTAAAATTAAAAATAATTTAAGTTATTTAAATATTGATGTGTTTCAAATATCATATGAAAATATATATAAATGTATAATAAAATACATTTTATATGTATTATACTTTATATTATTTCAATACTTAAATTTTTATTTTTTATCATCTTAACATTAATCTTCTAATAATTAATATATTTCAAAACTATAAATATACTTGTATTACTTCGAAGCAATTAATTCCATTATCTTGAAATATATATA